CCATTCAGTTCCCAAATCGAATGTTCAACTCATATGGAATTTCTGCCGACATTCGTCAAGTCTCTGGTGGCACCATCACACATTCGTATGAGCGTGCATCTGACTGCATATCCCACCGCTACTACCCAAGTGTGGCAGGAAAAACATTGTTGTGTTTTTATAAGAAGTTATATTTCATGGTCCCCTTCTTGCTGGAAGCTGATTTATAACCCTTCAGCCCAGTGTATGTGGATGGCCACTAGATAATCCCAGTGTATGTGGATGGCCACTAGATATGCCCAGTGTATGTGGATGGCCACTAGATATGCCCAGTGTATGTGGATGGCCACTAGATATGCCCAGTGTATGTGGATGGCCACTAGATATGCCCAGTGTATGTGGATGGCCACTAGATATGCCCAGTGTATGTGGATGGCCACTAGATATGCCCAGTGTATGTGGATGGCCACTAGATATGCCCAGTGTATGTGGATGGCCACTAGATATGCCCAGTGTATGTGGATGGCCACTAGATATGCCCAGTGTATGTGGATGGCCACTAGATATGCCCAGTGTATGTGGATGGCCACTAGATATGCCCAGTGTATGTGGATGGCCACTAGATATGCCCAGTGTATGTGGATGGCCACTAGATATGCCCAGTGTATGTGGATGGCCACTAGATATGCCCAGTGTATGTGGATGGCCACTAGATATGCCCAGTGTATGTGGATGGCCACTAGATATGCCCAGTGTATGTGGATGGCCACTAGATATGCCCAGTGTATGTGGATGGCCACTAGATATGCCCAGTGTATGTGGATGGCCACTAGATATGCCCAGTGTATGTGGATGGCCACTAGATATGCCCAGTGTATGTGGATGGCCACTAGATATGCCCAGTGTATGTGGATGGCCACTAGATATGCCCAGTGTATGTGGATGGCCACTAGATATGCCCAGTGTATGTGGATGGCCACTAGATATGCCCAGTGTATGTGGATGGCCACTAGATATGCCCAGTGTATGTGGATGGCCACTAGATATGCCCAGTGTATGTGGATGGCCACTAGATATGCCCAGTGTATGTGGATGGCCACTAGATATGCCCAGTGTATGTGGATGGCCACTAGATATGCCCAGTGTATGTGGATGGCCACTAGATAATCCCAGTGTATGCCTCTCTATCTATATTATTAGGCACCCCTTTGCTCTCCGCAACCCCCCTCAAGGTCACCGCTCTTTGTCTTGGTTTCCCCTCTTCTATCTTTTCATCTTCCATTCCCTCTCCACTTCTTCTTTCTAGTGATCCCGATACAAAAATGCCACCACTGCCTCAACCTCGGTCCTCCAGCTGTTGTGAAACTACATGTCCCATGAGGCAATGCAAGCCTCTGACGGCCACAGCCATGACTCCTAGAAGCATGATAGGAGATGTAGTCAAGTGAGCTCACAGGCTTCAAGACTGCAGGAGGTTGCCTGGATTACAATACTGGCCAAGCAGACTTTCATATCCTTCAGCAGGTAAAACGCGCACGTGGAGATCAGCAATAAAAGTCAACTGGCTGGAGTTATCAGCATCATCTAGCTCTTTCCTCCCTAGCCTGACTGTCCCCGCCCCTTTCATTCATTAGATTTAATATCTTTCAGTCATGGAGGATCAGCACCTGATGTGGGTGTTCTGTATGGAAATACAGCCTAGAAACATCCACTCCTCCAGACTGACATCAAGGCATTTTGATATTTGCGTAACCCCTCCCACACGCCAGACCACTGCTTGCATCAGGGCTGAGGACTCTTTAGAGGAGTACTGAGGCAGGGCGCTGTGATGTTTATATTAGTGACAACATTACCAGGAATAACATAAGTTATATAATGAAGACAGAGGAGGGAAGAGGAACCAGGGGAAGGTAAAATATAAGCAGATTCAGTTTCAGCTTGAGGGAAGCAGCTTTGTACGGAGAACTATATAAAAAAAACATTTTGTACAAATCGACATTATCCAGCCGAATGCCTGAGGAAAAAAAACATATTTTCTAAACCAACAACCAGTTCCTGACATTTGTATCTCTCCTCCGGCACTCACTGCCGTTGGCTAGTTGTGTAGCAGCGTGCGGGCGTCACAGGGCTATTTTAGAAGAAAAGTTCATCTCTGCCGTGTCAGCATTCTCTCTCATCATGGCCGCGTTCCATACGTGTAACAGAATCCTAACGTGCCACAGAGCCTGAAGTTTAAGCCATCTGAATACATTCCGGCTGCATCAGAACAGAAGCTGTGCAAAGCAGCCACAGCCTGAGTAGAATAGCCTGACCCCCTGCCAGCATGCTGTAGAGATGGATCCTTGCTCTCTGTGTGGAAGCAGCGGTCCCTCCACGCGACTCCGTACAAGTCACAGCTATAGTTCTGCATTCAGCAAAGCTCTCACGCCGTGCTGGCTGAAGAGCGCTATGTTTGAATAATCAGGGGGTGTGTCGGACCTCTGCAGGCTAGGTTCACACCTCGGCGACTCCTGACCACGCAGCAATCCGTGTGGTTTTGTGCACGATTGCTGCGCGGTCGGGAGTCGCCAAAGTGTGAACCGATCGCGTGGTGGGTGCCATTATGCTCTAATGGCACCCCGGTTGCGCCGGGTGGATCGCGCGGTTTCCCGCCGCGATTAGGCCCGTGCAAGTGAACACGAAAAAAAAGCCGCGAGTCGTGTGTCGCAAAAAAAAAAGGTACTTGTAACTTTTTTTTAGCGATTGCCGCGAGATGTCACCCCATTGAAATCAATGGGGCCACGCGGCAAGCGTGCACAAGGCCAAACAAGGTCGGGCCTTGGGGCAACAGGGAGTAGAGGGGCAGCAGGGGTGAGGATTTCCATCTCCCGATGCCTGGGACATGCAGTTCTGGGCGCTGGGCGGGTGGTTGTTTTCTACATTCAGTTAGGAACCTGGCCTTGGGGCAGCAGACAGAGTAAATCCGACCCTGACTATCGTGCGGCGATCGCGTGGCCCCGGAATGCGTGGCCCGGGTGTCATGCAATGTAGTGCAGGTGTGAACCTAGCCGCAGAGAGACCACTGCTTCCACACTTCTATGCAGCATGCTGGCAAGGGACAGGATTTTCTACTCAGGATGTGGCTGTCAATGTAATGCAAGAGGCAGATAAGTCAAATTCAGCTACTTAAATATGCTGCTTGTGTTAAAGGGAAAATTATGTATTAAAGAGTGCAGAGCTGCATTCATTTGTGTCTTTTATATCAGCCTGGAGTTCAATGGAGTGAAAGCCATCAGGACACCCAGATCCTTCTCCATCATGGTGTCACCCTGAGTTACTCCCCTCCAGACCCTAGGACTATTCTTGTTCACAGCCACTCCAAGACTGAGGACAGTCTAGTATTTTCAATCAGACAGGACCTGTCTGGTAGGCTGGCAGTGAGATAAGAGGCCAGCAGGGCACATGCATTGTTCAGCTCTACTAAGCGGGAAGCAGAGGAAGCAGAGGCTCCGTGTGCAGTGGCGTCACAAGGGGGGTGCGGCCCGCACCCAGGTGCCACCATTGGAGGGGTGACACCAAAATGACTCACAGTCATTTTGGTGTCAACCCCCCTCTGAAAAGTCAGGCGCTCGGTCATGGACCGAACGCCCGACAGTATCAGGAGAGAGGAGGTGACCCGGCGGCATACCCTTTCCCGCCGGCTGACTGTCCCCTCCTCTCTCTTGGTGATGGACGCCGGCAGGTATCAGCATACTGACGCACGTGCGCGATGACGTCACGCGCATGCGCGGTGATGTCTCGGCGGGGTGACACTCGGTTACAGCTCCGGGTGTCACCCAGCCTCGGGACGCCCCTGTCCGTGTGTAATGAGCCCATACAGCTGCTGTTTTTTTTAGTGCAGCTCCATAAATGCACAAGATTACACGGACTGAACTGATATATATATATATATAACAATATGGAAGCAAGCATGTCAATTAAATAAAGCCATAGCCCCCCAAAATGCAGAGGAATTTGATTGGTTTGCACATGTGCACATTAGGATTGCCACCCGTCCGGTTTTCACGCGGACAGTCCGGTTTTGGAGTCTTGTGTCCAAGTGTCCAGCCAGCGGGCACCCGGACACAAGACACTCAGCGCCGACACCTGCACTTTACATTTTCTGACAGATGCGGCTGCCGAGGCCCTTAGCAAGCGTGGTCTCGGGCAGCCGCATCTGCCTGATACCAGATCTTCCTCTGAGCTGCGGCCAGCCTGGGCCTGTTACAGAGGAAGATCCGGGTTTCAGGCAGATGCAGCTGTCCGAGATCGCCCTCGCCAAGGACCTCGGCAGCCGCATCTGTGAGTGCCTTCTTCTTCTCCTCCGGCTCCCTGACACCGTGCTGCCCGCCGGTGGACCCCTGGTGGGACACCATAGCCCAGACAGCCCTGAGAGTCCTACAGCACACCCGAGAGTCGCACAGCCCAACTGAGAGCCCGCACAGGCCACTAGGTCACCTGGAGACATCAGGGCACCAACCCAGAACAACAACTTCATATTATCTTGTATTGCTGTATAATGTATTGCTGGGATTTGTAGTCCTCTATAGCCGGCCTCCTTACTTCCTCCCAATGGCTGCATCTACTCGCTCTTTCCTCTATGTTCTCCCAAGAAAAAATAGACGCACGCGGTGCTAAAGTGTTTGGCTTTCAAAAAGTAGCAACCCTAGTGCACATTCAGCAGTGCAGCGCCAGTAAGTGACTGCTGACTGCTGTTCCTTTCATACAGTCTGAGCCCGCAGACAGATAAAGCTGCACTGAGGTTCTGTAGGGGAAGCCGACCCTGCCTATGTAACAGACCCAACCTGGAAAGGACATTAAAGATAATTAACAATAAGCTGATTGATTTCGCAGAAAAAGAAAGATTTTTACAAGTTGATTCCTTTACAACGAGCTGCGTGGGAGGACTTGTGACATTTGGATGTTTTCTAACTCGGCGCCTCTTCCCCTCCTGTCACTGAGCCCCCTTCACACGCTGATGTTCGTCAGATCTGTAGTGTTACCACAGAAGCTATTTTCTGCCATCGGCCAAGCGTGGCCAATCACAACACTCCGCAGATCCAGTCTGTCCACATGGCTGACATTCCAGCTTCGCCATTTGCCCGTGGCTGCTCCGCCACTACCAGCCCACAAATCCTGAATCAGCCCACAGGCAGGGATGATCAATCTCTGCCTGTTCAGGGACAACAACTGCCATCATGGAGGTACACAATGTGTATAGGCGCATGAAGGGAAGACAGTCTTGAAATGTTAACAGGATCATTACCATTAGAATTCCTGAGCCAGACCTGTACCATCATTTATTGTCTGTGTCTGCCCTGCGTTATGAGGACCTGTGGGGGTAGAATTATGGGAACTGAAGCTGGAGTTGGGCTTCGGGTGAAATTTGTTTTCTTTGTAAAAATAAAAAATAAAATTTAAATAGAGCCAAGCTCAGGCTGCAATACTTATCTTCCCCTGCAGTACCTGTTCTCTGCCACTAGATGTCCTCAGTCTTCCAGCGTCACTCAGCCAAGACAAAGTGTGAGCGTGGGGCGTCATGGACCTGCTCACTGAGGGGAGGTCATCACAGCGCTCTTTCATCACGTCATAATGAGGCAGAGAGCGAAGATTATTGAGTCAGCTATGTTCTCTCTATGATTATTGATCGTCCAGAAATCTGGAAATATAAGTATGTCTTGATTGTATTGGAATGGTAATGACTTCATTATATTGGTGGGCCAAGTTCCGCTTTATGTAGCTTCTTCATAAGAGCAGGCATACAATGTAGGAGGACGGTTATATCTCAGTATGAATATCTGCTTAGATTTCTGCACACTTAGGAAGCAGAGCCATGGATTGATATCTGTATATTTTATAGTTATATTGTCTTGGCGGAAAGGACTGTAAATGTGTAACTAAAGTCTAAAAGGTAATTAAATCATACACGGAAGCAAAAACATTTTGCAACTATTTCACCTCATCCAGTCGCCATCTTTGAGGAGAAGGACTCTGCAGCAGACAACTTTCTGAAAGAGGTAAACAGATTTGGTTATAATGATTCCTAGATTGTAACATTTTGTTGACTTTATTCAATATGCTTCACATTTCATCAAAGCCAAATGATTTGTGAATGTAGAAGAAAAATATAATATGTGTCTTTGTGTGTGACTGACTCACTTCAACAAAGGGTTAACTAACTCATAATATATATATATAT